TAATAAGCACTATGCCCCGTTATCAATCCCAGGAGCCATCCAGTCACTCAGGGTTCTTCTTCATTAATTAAGAAATTAATGAGAGTTTTTACATTGATTTCAATGGTATCAGAATCTGGCCCCATATGTTAGCTATGATAACTCTACTACCAATTATCTATGTTCTCAAATGTGTTCTAGTCAACAGAACTCACATAATACAGGATTTACTTTTCACCTGAATAGGAACATTTTTCATCAAAAACGAATATTCAGTTCACATCACAGCTGTATAATTATTCGTTTTATAGAGATGTAAAGCAGGCATTAATAGTAGTTCAAAACATCACATTTATAAACTTTTCTCCCATCATATTAAACATAAATACTTCAGATGGAATAAAACTCCAATCCTTCAAATGGATAAATTCCCCACCAAATATAGAATCTCAAGCTTCAGAAATCAGGCTTTTAAGCAAAGTGTCAGAGTCATGCCTTCACTTGCTGTTCCATGAGGTGCAATGTCAGGAGAATAAGAAGAGCAGGCTAAAAAAAGTCTCATTTATTCTTATCTACAGAGGGGTTTATTTTTAGGAATTTTATTTCAAATTAGTTAGTTAATGATTGCCAAGTGCTTTGAAGATCAAAAGCTGTGTAAGTGCTGAGTGTTATCTGGAAACCAAAAAATGCATACCAAATAACTAGCCAACATACATGCTACTCACAATCACAATATCTTACAGTTCAATAGCAGCTTTCAATCCCAAAGGATCTGAAAGGGCTTAAACTATGGCCAGAGCCTGCAAACAGATCTATAGCCCTTCACAGTGTCCCATTTGCTTGAGTAGGACTCTGTGCAGTTCTATTTGCAGGACTGAATCCTGAACAAATACAGGGACCATTTCAACTAACCACCAGTGAAATGCAGTTAAATATGGTGTGGAATACAAAAGTTGTTTAGCAGGTGTGCACCACCACTACATAGCAGCTTCCTTAAAATTCAACAGAAAATAACTTTGTAGGGTAGATATCTGTCTAGCATATAAAATTTGAGAGAGACTGCCACAAAATTTAAAAAACCAATAGATTTGCACTATTCATTAACAAATTCTAAAGGAGATTAAAGTAATTTCTATAGAGCCCTATTTAATTCCTGTAAGACATTATTGGTTGAATCTCTCTTAAATTTCACTCTTGCAAAAAAATATTACTGGATTGTTAATAACAATCAGTGCTTAGGAACTGTATTATGCCTCATTCAAAAGGCAGTACTTCCTACAGTGACCTGTATACAATGTTTCTCTTTCAACAAAGAGACTCTCTAATGCTTGTACATTACTTTAATGTATATTTATCTTGTTCCCTTTAAGGCCTGAAGTTGACTTACTGAAGTACAAATAATGAAGCTAAAATATTTACATATCTTCAGGCACACTAATAAATATGACACATGAGCAACAAATTACACACCTGGCCCTCTTTTCCAGGACACACACACACACACCTCCCACACACACAAAGTCAGGCATAACTTATGCACCACTATAAGATATCAAAGAAGCATCACTACAGTCCACATTTGCCAGCCTACCAATTTGTTCAATATACCAAAAACAAGGATCTAACACAGGACTAATAAAATTATCTTTATCACCGGAGAGCTCAAAATGATGGATGCCAAAGTTAGGACTTTATGAGATCAAGTGAGCACATCCAGTTTTCAAATTTTGTTTTGCAAATGCAATTAAAAATGTGCAATTGATTTAGTACTGGAGAGTAATGACATCCCAGTTCATCTGAAATGAATATATCCCGATAAAATGGCATTAAGCTGAGACATTAAGTCCTGAGGTACAGATCTAAATCAAGGGTCAGGAACCTGCTTTACCAGGTTTCAGATTACTTTGAACACAGACTCTGTAACTGCCCTAAACTATATTCTTAAACTAGTACATCTGAATACATAACCTTTGAGACTCTGTGCTAGATGAAGACAGGCCCAGGGACAGAACTCAAGTCCAAGTCAGAATATGGACCCAATCCGGCAAGCCACTAAGTGCATCTAAAAAGGTGCTGAGCATCTGCAACTTCACTTTATGTCAACAGGAATTATGAAATAGATGAAATATCTTTCATCAAGGAGTAACCCACCTACGGTAACTTTTAAGTAGGTCCCTATCCCAACGTTGTTCAGTATATGTCCACGCCCTAAAGGCCATCTCCATTCACTAACATTTTAACTTGTGTGTTCTTTAAAGTGTCTCGTGAGGTTTAGAATACAACTTGGCTCAGCTTTTAGCGAAAGATAAACCTCCCCTTGATGATAGATTTTTGCGGGTCCTTTGGGTGCTCAGTTAACAAAGTTTTACTGTTCCTTTACATTAATCAATTACTTGGTTTTGCTCTTTTCTAAATAACTCATTATAATCATACAATAAAGGCAGCATCAAGAGAAAGGAAAGACCACAATACAGATCCAAACTCAGCCATACTTTTTATTACAGAATATGTCACTATTGAATCGAATTGGTCGCTATTTCTTTTCCATGTGGCAAAAAACAGAAAAATGATATTAAACTCATCCATGCACCTTCCAATCCTGCACTTGCAATGAGACTGTAAGCTAACAAACACAACATGCATTCACAGTCAATTTATTAAAAGGCATTTCTTAGCACCAATCAGACAATATACAGCAGACTCACAACAGAAGAAACTAGATTTAAAGTAATAGCTGTTGCTGATAAGGAAGGGTACACGTTTTAGAAAGGTGGGCAGGAAAACAGGTGCATAATTGCAATTATCACTCCATGATACTATAGTGGTGGCCCTCAGAAGCTTATCTTGGGCAAAATTAGAAAATGTAAGGGTAACTCCAGATTTTCAAAACCAACTTCTATTTCCCTATACACATGCTTATAGGAAATACCATAAATACAGCTGAAAGTGAGGTTATTTAACTGGAAATACTTATTTAAGCCCCCAAACTACACTCTGATCCATGCCAATGGAAGAGTCCACCCCCTCACATCCGATTGTAGGATCATGGGCCTTAATTATCTCAGGCAATTGGCAAGTTTTAAAAGGCCATCACTGTGCACGCTAAGTCCAATTCCCTATACACAGCTGCATTCTCTACTGAAAACTGACCCTGAACAATTTAAGATAAGTCAACTAGTTCAATTTGGTTTTAGGCTGCAATATTATTTCGCTACTTAATGGTATTTCTCCTCTGAAATACCAAGCCAAAAAATGTGTTTACTACTTTTTACAGCACAAGTAGAAATAACCCCTTGTGCAGTGAGAAGCAAAAGTTGATACACAGCTATTACTTATATACATCAAATTTCAATGCTGCATTTGCAGATCTGAACAATCAACTTTAAAAAGTCAGCAAATTCTGATTTTAAAGCAATTGGTTGAATGAATCATTTATTTGATTTCAAACTAACTCGAAAACGTGTCACTCTACCTGCTTCTGGAAGAATTCCGAGTATCTCCAACCCCACCAGACCTTCTAGGAATGACAAGACACTACTCCTCAGACCTTTTAAAAAAAAAGGTCTTTGACAACTGTTCTCTTTTCCTAGAGCTACTATATTCTGAAAACAACCTCTTCTAAAATATTCTATTGATGGCACATTTTGTAATCTGTAGAGAGTGAGAATGCCACGTACAAATATATAAATCCAACTTCTGCTCTGAATTATAACCAGACAATCCAACTGAAATCTATGGGCCAGATCCTGAGCTGGT